CGCGTTGAGTATTTATATGTAACTGTAATTAGGTACAGTTTTGACTAGTGTCTGTGTGAGAATGTGGGTTTATGCTCTAATTCATGTCATAGTATGTTGTTACGTTTATGTTTACATCGTCCTGCTCACAGTTTGAACAAGTTGAGACATAACTGCATCTCTCCACAGCCTATAGTCAAAACTGTACCTAATTACAGTTACATATAAATACTCAACGCGAGTTAAATACTTTATTCTCTGTGATAAATACTATGTAACTCTCAACTACTACCACGTCACATTTTACCTCATTATATGTAAAATTAAGACTTTTAGCCATTTCTCTGGTTGATGATGTTGATGTCCAGCTGTGGCGGCCATCTTGAACTGGAAAGTCAGTGGTGGACGTACATCCAGTGTTCATGTGATAATAAAACAAGAACTGTTTGTTCTTTAACAACCTGTTTTATTGTCAGGAGAGCTGTCTGTACTGACAGTCGTTACCATAGGAATATAAGAGGTTGGAATAAATTAAAACGTGCAAACGTTGTTGTTTACACATGTAATGGTTTGAGTGGGATGTTTCTGTCTCTTGTGACATCAGCTGTCACTCAGTCCTCAGCACCGGGCCAACCGAGCGACTGGTCATTTATAGTGTCACCTCCACTGACAGGATGTCTCTGTGTGTTGCAATGTGCATGGTGTCTATATGTGCAGCTCTAGTATGTGTAGAAAAATCATCCCAGAGCAGACAAATGTTTGCAGGTCATGGCCGCCATCTTGTGGTGGATTTAGAGACAAGGTGCACAAACTAAACCCCAACTAGAACCATTGATAAAAGAGCAAATATAATATACCAGTTTGCATGAGCTCATCTCTTTGGGAATGTGTGTCATTGTAATTTAATAATTCTGGGGCCTTTAGTTTCCCAGCATGCCTCTTGCTGTGGACCCAGCTTCCTGTTTGTGTTCGTCAGGACACACTTCCTGCTTCAAAACAAGCTCAGATTGACTTTAAATAAGTTTGTTCCATTTCCTTATGATCCTTATGTTCACTTTCACTAAACTTTTATTAGTATTTTGAATATAAATAAGTGGCTATAGATAAATATTTTTTAGGTTGGGTTTGGATTTTTTTCAGCTCTTTTGAGTTTCACTTGTTTGAAAAGTGCATCATAAAGTTAATTTGAATTTAGTATTTGCTGTTATTCAGCTCAATATTTATTAATAGTACTTCTAAATACAAAAAAATCTCACACACACAAAAATCACCAAAACAGTAGCATTATATTGCGTTCTTGTTATTTATGGAAGTGTTTTAATTTATTGTAGATTTTTAAGCTTTATAAGCCATGATGGATATATTTGGGATGAACTTTCTTCATGTTTATAACAAAACCAGACGGTAATCTGTCACAACAGAATTGAAAAACTAAAACGTTTGGTTCAAAAATAATAAATTATCACTAAATTTAGATAAAACAAAATTCATGATATTTGGAAGTAGCTAATTAAACACAAAAACAATGCAATCGAAATAATTATCGACAGTGTTGATTTGAAATGAGTCCATGAAATCAAATTTCTGGGCATCATTAGATGATAAATGTTACTGGAAACCACAGATCTGCAAAGTAAAATCTAAACTAGGCAAAAGTGTTGCTGTTTTGAGGAGAGTAAGATTTAATCTGGACTACAAATCTCTGTTTATTTTATATATTCTCATTGTACCATATGTGGGTTATTGTGTGGAAGTTTGGGGCATTACATACAAAACAAATTTACAGTCGCTGTACACAAGACTAAATAAATCTATCAGACTATTACATAAAGTGAGATATTGGAAGCATACAAATCATTATTTATTTTTTTTAATCAAATGCACTGAAATTCTGGGACCTTGTAAAATTCAAAACTATACAATTTATGTTCAAAGTAAGAAACTGTCAACTTCCACACAATATTCACAAAATGTTTTGTGACAGAGAGGGGGGGTTATAATTTAAGAGGAGAAGGAAAATAAAAAAACAGTGGATCAGAACAACCAAAGAGTTTTTGTATACGAGTGTGTGGAGTAGATCTATGAATGATTTAAATGATGAGCTCAAACAAAGTACAAATATAAACCAGCTTAAAAAATTGTATAAAAATGAGCGCATTGCAACATATGTTTCATAGGATGGGCGTCTCAAAGACCAAAAATTATATTGTTTATTAATAATGTGTAAATAATTGTACATTCAATGATGACAATGTGTGGTTTAAGCATCATAATGTGGGAGGATTATAAGGGTTATTTGGTGTGGGGAGACTGAATGATTGTATATTGATGTGTATGAGGCAGGACATCACAAGATCTTTATCTTCTACCTGCTCCTTTTCAAACAAATTGTGTAAAATTGCATGCTAATTGGTATGAATGTTTGTTTTATTATTATTTTCTTTCCTTGTTTTGAGTTTTTATTGTCTGTTCGATATAAATAAATAAATAGATACATAAATAAATGTAATTAATGTGCAGTGCTGCCCCCTGGTGGTAGTTTCCGGACACTGCATCCTGTTGAAACGACCTGGGGCTCAGACGAGCAGAGTCAGTTCAGTCAGGATGTTTCTCGAGCGTCTCTGACCTGTTTGCTCTTCTTGTTCCTGCAGATGAGAAGCCGTACGTCTGCAGCCTGTGTGAGTTCGTCACCTCGGACTCTCAGGTGTATTCTGCTCATGTTCACGTCCAACACCCGGCTGCCTCCAAAGACACACCCAGCCCCGCTCCCGGCCTCACTTCCAGCTCGGACGGCGGTTTCCCCAAACTCAAGCAGGCTTTTATGCAGGGTCTGAACAACTCTCCTGACACTTACCTCTCAGCTTGTTCCTCCCCCAGTGATCCCACCACGCTTCCTGTTGATCTGTGTGTGAGGGCCGGGGGCGTCAGGGCGATGAACTCCCTACCTTTGGACAGGAAGAACCTCCCTAGTCACAAGTGCTCCTTCTGCTCGCACACCACCCGCTACCCCGAGGTGCTCTGGATGCACCAGACCGTGGCTCACCGCATCAACAGCAGCAGCTCCAACCTGGCTCCTAAATGGGCCGTTAAAAACAACTCCAAGGGCTCCAGAGATGGCTCGTTGTCTTCCAGGAGACGCACCGGACCCCCACCGGTCCTGGAAGGAAGGGAGTGTCAGCCGTTGCCTCCACTGATGCGCAGCCAGCGAACACGGCCCCCGATCTGCTCCAGCGAGGTACCAAGGAAGAGCAGGCCAGGCGGTCAAGCCACATCTTCATCATCCACTCCCTCCACAAGGAGCTCCTCATCAACATCAGGTAGCCATGCTGGGAGAGTCCCTGTGCGTCCGGTCAGCTCCGTCAAACACACAGAAGATCAGAACCATCGCTTCAGACCCAAAGTGTGTCCTCGAGGAAACTCCCTGGCTGCTTCAGGCTCCACGGACAAGAACGCCAGGAGCCTCTCTCGCTCCTCGGCACCGAGCCCCAGCTCCTCCGCAGCTTCCAGGATGTCCGACCGGTACCTGATGCCTCAGGAGGGTCTGGGCTTCATGCTGTCCAACAAACACAGCCTCTCATCAGAGTACTACCGGGCCCAGGGCTCCCCTCATCAGCCCCCCTCCAGCTCCCACAGCCAGAGTCGGCCCAATGCTCTGAGGCCCGCCGCCGTCAGCCGGAGTTCATCTGCAGCGCAGAGCTGCGGCACCGCCCAGACCCACGGAGGCTCGGTGCTGAGTTCTTCCTCCCCGTCCTCCTCCACTTCAGCACCTTTGGACGGTCGTAGAGAGGCGAAGCAGGAGCGGACTGCAGAGGCGCCGGAGATGCGCACAGATATCCTCAGCTTCCTGAAAAACTACAGCCCACACGAGCTGGCTGCCCTGTACCACCGCTGGGGGGCAGCCAACGTCCTGCTGGACCCCACAGGTACGGGCTGGTTATCACTTTCTGCTCATTTACACATTTGGTGTTTCATTTTGGAGGTTTTATTGTGAGTTTATTAATGGTACCAGTGAATAAGCACTAAAGCACTTCGATATGTTCCTCTGTTTTTGTTTTGATTTTAATTCATTGCTTCAACAGTTTAAAGCCTGTCATACTGTATGAAGTGGAAGAAATTTAAAAATATATATTTTTGGAAAAGTACTGATGCATGCTCAGTAATCCAGGTAGATAAATCGTACAAGGTTGAGTCAGGTCCTCTGGACACATTCTTCTTGTTCAATGCAGTTTATTTATTTAGCACCAAGTCACAACAGGAGTCATCTCAGGGCACTGAACAGAAACATATAAAGTCAGTTAACATTATTTATCTGAGGAGCAGACTGCTTTGAGTTTTCACTTCATCACCGTCTCCCATCCTAAGCAAGCACAGAGGTGACAGTGGAAAGGAAAAACTCCCTCATGAGGAAGAAACCTCCAGCAGAACCAGGCTCAGGACAAGAGGCCGTCTGCTTCAACCGGCTGGGTTTGAGAGGAACAGGAAGGAGGAACAAACACAGTGACAGGTCCAGGATGGAGGAGAGCAGCTTTTCTCTAGGAGGAAAGAAAAAGACAGAAACCACGTGTTAAAGAATATTTACAAATACAAACTATTCATTTGTATGTAACAAGGTTAAGTCAGGTCATCTGGGCAGTTTCTTTTTATTGAGATGTTTCGTCCTTCATCCAAAGGACTTCATCAGTCCAAGGAGCCACAACAAACTCAGTCTTATAAGCAGCACACTCACATGATGGTGATAAGATGGTTTCTGGAGTCCGCCCTCTCTCCCACCAACTCGTCTGAGGCAGCCATGGCCGAAGTGGTTCAAAACATCAAAGTTCATGCGCAATAAGTCGAGTGTGTGGACTCCAGAAACCATTTTATCACCATCAAACTGGTTGGCCCACCATGTGAGTGTGCTGCTTATAAGACTGAGTTTGTTGTGGCTCCTCAGACTGATGAAGTCTTTTGGATGAAAGACGAAACATTTCAACATAACGAAAATGTCCAGAGGACCTGACTGAACTTTGTAGGATTTTTTACCTGGATTATTGAGCTTGAACAAACATATTTGTTTGTATTTGTAACTGTTCGTTTGATGGAATGAGGTCAGTTTGTCCTCCAGTAGTCTAAGGTGTTAGCAGCAGAGGATAAGGAATAGGTGAGGAAACCAAGTCGACTAACTATAGGATTTATCAAAAAGGAAAGTCTTAATCCCAGTCTTTAAACTGGACAATGTGTCAGCCTCACAGACAGAAACTGGAAGTTGGTTCCACAAGAGAGGAGCCTGATAACTGAAAGATCTTCCTCCCATTCTGCTTTTGGAAACTCTAGGAACCACAAGTAAACCTGCAGTCTGAGAGCAAAGTGCTCTGTTAAAAAATATGGAACAGTAAGATCTGTATTATGATGGAGCCAGGTTGTTGAGAGCTTTTGAAATGTTACATCATTTATCCAAAAGACTTCTTCAGTCTGAGGAGCTGCAACAAACTCAGTCTTATACCTTCTCATAGTGGATCAACCAGTTTGCTGGTGACATCCAGAACTAGCTGTTCACAGGATAAAGGAGGACCAGCAGCCTAACAACTGATGGCCTGATGGCGCTTGCTATTCACAGAGAGCTGAGTGATACGAGCAATAACATCATTGTAAGAGACACCTGCTCTGCTCTGGTTGACCTGCTCTCTTCTTCGACAGCGTGCCCAACTGAAGATGTTGCACCAAGAACCCTAAGATTCACTTGGATTTTCTGTTCTATTCCAGTCCAGTAAAACACTTATCTTCAAAACTACAGACAATATCTGTTCAAGTCCCTCAGCGACAGGGACATCGGTGTGTCGCTTGTTCCTTTTCTTGTTTACAGTGGAAGACGTGAGAGAACCTTACTTGTCTGGAGGCTGCGAGGCATGTCTGGTCTAAGGCTCTTCTGTCACAAACTGTTTGGGTCACAGCTCCGCCTGTCGAGAGGCGCGCTCAGACGCGAATGTGAGGAGAGGCAAACCCAGCGCTCGGAGAGAATAATTACCCCACCAGCTGCGTTGGTCATTACCGAACATTCGTTTTATTTGCCCACTTTCTGTTGTGTCATCTGAGGTCAAGTGGGCCTGCACGAAGCCAGGGGTCAAAGACAAGAGCCCCCCGAGCGGACGCGTGACATCGCTGTCACCCGTCCAGGCGCATATCGTCACCGTCCGCCTTAGCCCTTTGAGTCACATGCTATAAACTGACCTTTTCTGAGCAACTGAGTCGTTTCCCTGTGTATCTGTGTAATACGTGTGCGAGTGTGTGTTCTCTGTCCGGCTCTGTCTTGTCTTTCATTAGTGCATCAGTGAGAAGGGCTGGCGGCCCGGAGTACAAGTAGAATATCCAGAGGCCAGCAGCCGGGCTGCCAGAGATACTCTCCGTCACCTCCTCTACCTCCCTGTCCTCCTGGTACCTGCTGTCCTGCAGCAGAAAAGTAGAACAATGCAGGAGATCCTGGTGCAGATTCACACACATCCTGACGTTGCTGACTTTATTCATTATTCAAGACCGTTGATCAACAGCTCTGTCAGTGTGCACAACGGCTGATACGAACCAGAAAATTGAGGTCGAGTTCACCAGCCTCGAAGGCCATTTGTGTCAGCTGACGTCTGAACGGCGTGGAGCTTCTGTGGTCGTTCCTTCTCTACATCCAGTGGTTGATTGTTTAGATCATATCATCACTACGTCACCCTTCAGAGCCTCAATGCCAGCCGACCCTTTTATCAACCAGCTCTGTAGTTCAGCTCTGTTACACCTCTGATGGTGGTCAGAGGTGTAACAGCAGCAGGTTGACTTCTAAAAGTCACAAGACGAGATGTTTTTATCAGGATTTACTGTTTTTGTCTTGACTTTGTTGCACAACTGTTATGTGCTGAAAAGGTTATGTAGGGGCCAAGATGGCGTAGAGGCAGGGCAGCCGACCCGTGACCCGAAGGTCCCGAGCTCAATCCCCAGTCACTGCACACCTTGTGGTGTCTCTGAGCAGCACACCTCATCCCCAGTTGCTCCCCGGGTGCCCCCAATAGCTGCCCACTGCCCCACCCAGTGATGGATGGGTTAAATGCAGAGAGACAATTTTGCCATTGTATGGAAACATACATGTTATTATTATTATTATTATTATTGACTAGAGGTGTCCCGATACTAGCCTCACTCGTATTTGTACTCATAGGAACACCTCGAAACTTCAACCAGATACAGCTTTTATGCTTGGTGATGTCATTTCCTCTTCCACCTTGCAAGTAACTGAGGACAAATACATTAAAAAAGCCATAGTTTGGAGATATTTTAAGATGAACAGACGGGATGTTATGACAGCAGACTGTTTGCTGCGTTCGTAAAATAAGAAATGTGTTTTTAAAGTAATTTATTTTTTGAGTACTAACTCACTACTCAGTATCTGTACTCTGTAGCAGCAAATACCCAAGCTGAAGTACATGTACTGTATTTTCCGGACTACAAGTCACATCAGCAAAAAAGCCTCATGAAGAGGAAAAAACATTATATAAGTCGCATTTATTTACAAGTGTATTTCACAAAGTACAAGAACAGACATTTAGTCTGAAATAACAATAACACACAGAACATTCCTGGGGTCCTGAACAGGCTTAATCAACATAACAAGCCAACGGGTCCAACAAGCAAGTTACTGGTAAATGCACCAGTCTCATTCCACATCACTTTTGGGGGCATTTTACTTGTGTTAAGTTTTACTTAGTTGTCTCAAGTGAATGTTTGGGCAGGGTGTGGGTGTTAATGGTAGAGGAAAAACATATACCGGTACCGGTAGTTGTCAAAAGCCTAGAGGAACTTCTTGCAGCTGTAAATGGTAATGTTTACTCTTTGGCTCATGCCAGTATGAATGAACATTTTTAACTTGTCCGTCAAAAACTGCGTCATGAATAGGGGAAAAAACGTACACTTTGGACTATTAAGTTGTAGGACTGGCCAAACTATGAAAAAAAGTGTTACTTATAGTCTGGAAAATACGGTAAATGTTCTTTTTACTCAGCCTGAAAAAATAAACTAATATCAGGAGGACATCTGTATTATTAACAGTAAATAATGAACAAAGTCACATGAAACAAACGTCTGTGAGAAGCTTCAGCCAGGCTCAGAACGTGCTTCTTTTTGTTCTGTACTGCGCAGAGAAGAGGGGATTTCAAAATATAGTCCGTCCGGTTCATTTTGTGAGTAAGATAACTTTAAAAATAAGCAACGTGTCGACTTCCATTTTGGTGTGTGGCTGCAGCTGTACCAAAGGTTTCTATGGAAAATTGGGTTGACACTTCAAAATCCAATATGTAAATGTAAAGTTCCCTCAAATGACTGGGGTGGCCAGAAATTAATCTATGGTACCACTGGTCACCCACCAGCTCCACCATTGCACCTGGTGCAGGATAAAGCTGCTCCCTCCACTCACCAGGATCCATCAGTCTGCGCTGCCTCGGACAAGAAGAAGAAACCTCCCTCTGTTCTTCTCCACAGTGTAACTCCTATTCACTTGAATATCTTACACCAAAAACATTACGGTTTACTTTCATCCCCTGTTCAATTTCAGTCCAGAAAAACACTCATCTTAAAAACTACAAACATTTATTATTCAGATACCTCATCCTGTTTGGATTTGTGGTTAAAGTGAGTGTTATCGCCACCTGCTGGTGCAACCTGGGACTTTCAGTGGTTCTCTTCCTCTTTAGGACAACTAGACTTTTTTCAGATGGAGGAAAATATAAAAATAAGATAAAAAACATCTAAGTTTGAGGAGTCAGGGACTTTATTCACGCAACAAAAAAAGTGTTCCAAGAATTATCAAACATTTATTTAACTCGGTCTGTTGGAGCAACAGAGCAGGAGTTTAAAATCTATTTACAGCTGAACGTTTTATTAAGTGTTGATACTTTTGATTCATGCTGTTTTATAAAGCAGTTTTACAGGAAATTTTAAGTGTTTTTATTTTAGGATAAATAAACTTTGTGTTGAGGCAGGAGGTTTGTGTTGACAGCTGTGAAAGATGGCCAGGGGAGCTGGTTTATATCCAGATGTTTTAAGGCAGTTTTATCCAAAAAAACGATTTTTATTTGAAAAACGACCAAATAAGCAAAAAAGGATTCCCACTTTTCATTAGATTTTTAAAATGTATTTTATTTTTATGAAGACTAAAGTCTGTTGTCCATTTGTCTGAAGTGTGCAGTGTCAAACATCTGGCTCTCGTGTGTGTGTTTATTCGTATCGTAGCCACCAGTGTGCCTTAACTTCCCTCCCTTGGACCACGCACACGTATAATCAACTCTGGAAACACGTACGCATGCCGACACACGCACACACTTGACATGTGACACACGGGCAGCAGAGCGGGCACATCACAGCCGGGGCGTTTTAATTGCCTGTAATTTATGCAGCGTGTGTGTGCGCTGCCCGTGTCCTGCTGTCAGCCTCTGAGATGATGCTGTGTGACAGCTGCAGTCCAGCCCCCGGAGCGAGCCGCTCATAATGACACATTAGACATACTAATGATGCCGGCACGAGTCCTCCGCTCATGCTACCTAGCTCCACCGCCTCACACACACACACGTTCAGCCTCATCCTGACCTTTATGTCTTCATCCAGCGTCCTCAAACACTCCTATGTGAAAATGTCTTCTCACTCATAAGATACTAAACGTGATGTTCACCTTTATGGACGAGACGTCAAAGGAACAAAATCATTTTTTATCTTCCGATAAGAGTAGATATTGCTTGAGTAAAGAGAGCCAAACACCTGACTCTGACTAAATGTAGCAGGAAATTGATTTGAATAAGTTAGAAAAAGATTGATTTCATATCTGTGTATGTACGACCTGTGTTTGAACACCGATATTTGTGTGTGTGTGTTCAGGAGTGCTGAGGTCGGCCGTGCGGCAGGGCCAGTATTTCTGTCATGAGTGTGGGAAGAGTTTCAGTCAGCCCAGCCACCTGCGCACACACATGAGATCCCACACAGGTAAAACACACGCACACACAGGCTACAGCCAAAATGGTTGCAGGTTTACACTCCCTGATCTGCCAGGAAGCACTTCTGGTGAAAGAGCACTTTGAAACGGTCTAATCTGTGGTACACACACTTTCTGCTCTTGTAGCTGGAAGTCAGATAAAGAAACGGGAACGATCCCTAAAGAAGGAATAGCAGCTTGGATCTCTCACCTGACTTCTGCATTACAAACTCTTTATTCACATTTCTGATAGTTTGACTTTCATGAAATCAATGACTCACATTACAGCCTCTGTTATCGAGCATGTTGCCTCCCAGAAATAAAAGGCTTGTATTGCTGATAGTACAGTAGTTGTCCCCCGTTGCGGAGTGAAGAGGGGACTTGGAAATACCCACCGTTCGTCCGGTTAGACAACTTGAAATAAAAGCAATGTGCCGACTTCCATTTTGGTTTGTGGCTATATGTAAGAAAGGTCAGAAGATCAAAAATCTGGTTATTACATCATAATCCAAGATGGCCACCGCCATATACACATGTGTAAATGTAAACCTTGTAAGCTGAAAAACTGGACCCCCTTATTATTTGAGGAAACTGCGTTTTCTTGTTTTTATATTGCTTACAAGTATAGTTTCCTCAGATGATTGGCATGACCAAAGATTAATCTATGGTGGCCAAGGCCCCCATTGGCCACCCCCTGGCTCCGTCTGGTGGTAGGTGAAATTGCTCCTGTCATTTGCCAGGATCTGTCACTGTACGTTGCCTCAGACAAGAGCAAAAATAAATAAATTACCTTTATTCAACAACTACAACCATTCACTATTCAAATCCCTCAGCGACGAGGGACATCGGTGCACTGCATGTTATTTACCGTCATTTCTGGACTATTGAGCGCACCTGAATATAAGCCACGCCCACCAAATTTAAAAAGAAAAAAAATTGCACATATATTCATTCATTCGTTCAACCTTTATTTGTACAGGTTAGTCTCATTGAGTTGCAAGGACTCATTTACAAGAGAGACCTGATTTAAACAAAGAACACAGATGAGGTACAGACAACAAGAGACAGTCATATAAAAGCATATTAAATGAAAAGTAAATGAAATAAACAATGAAAATTAAACAAAAACAGGTGCATTATAAAGTGATGTAAAATACTCAATGTAAAGTTTAGGCCACGCTTTTGTATAAGCTGCAGGTGTCCACACGTTGTAACATGAGATATTTACACAGAAAGATTTTTAAACTTTTAATTAAATATGTACCGGTAACATACACAAATACATAAAGTAAATGTTTTTTTTATGAACAATGCCTGTAACACAGCTGGTTAAAAAAATAAACAGTGGCCTACCAGGAAAAGTAATTGATCGCTATCTTCCATCTTCCTCAGTTTGTCTTCTTCTGTGTCAGAACTGAACAGTCTCAGAATCTGTCACACGTCCTCAGTCTCTTTTTTTGTCGCTCTCAACGTCATTTTTGTCTCGAGGCAAATTCGCGATTATATTTGATTTACGATTCGCACTTGTTTTGAGTTGATGCAAACACTTCATGCTTTGTTGTGTACAGCGAGGGGTGACACTCACGCAGGGAGGGGGAAGGGAGGAGAGAACGGGGAGGGCCCTCAACAGTGACCTGTTCAGCAATTTCATTGGTCAGATTCATTTTTAACCTTTATTTATACAGGTAGTCTCACTGAGTCATGAGGATCCACACTCCAAAAGAGATTGGGCAGCTATGTGAGCGCCCGGCTGTGACCAGGCTAAATGTTTTGGCAGCATGAAGCTCGTTAGCGCGTCAAAAATATCCATAAATTAGTTGCAGCATGGGCAGCACGGTGGCGCAACTGGTAGAGCTGCTGCCTCTCAGCGAGCAGGTCCTTGGTTCAACTCCTGGTCCAGGGGCCTTTCTGGGTGGAGTTTGCATGTTCTCTCTGTGCATGCGTGGGTTTCCTCCCACAGACCAAAAACATGCATGTTAGGCTGATTGGTAACTCTAAATTGTCCCTAGGTGTGAGTGAGAGAGTGAATGGTTGTTTGTCTCGTTTGTCTCTATGTGGCCCTGTGATGGACTTGCGACCCGTCCAGGGTGTACCCCGCCCCTCGCACAGTGATTGCTGGACATGGGCACCAGCGACCCCCGTGACCCAAAAATGGAATAAGCGGGTAAAGATAATGGATGGATGGATGGATGGATGGATAGTTGCAGCATTGTATATGTGTGTTCAAAGCGTGTGAAAAAAGTTGCGGCTTATTGTCCAGAAATTACGGTAAATGTTTTCACTTGATTTAACGTGTTGAGTTGTTGTTCCTCAGAGAGACCCGAAGCTCCAAGAGCTCATATCTAACCCTGTCATGAAAAAGTTCTGGTGTTGAACTCTTGTTTTGTCACTCTCTGAAGTCACTTACTGCATCTAAATTAGGTTTTTGGCAATGACTAGTTGCTAATCGAGCTTCCAGGAGTAATCATGCTGGAATAATATGTTAAGTTATCAAGACGAATGTTTGCGGCCAGCACCATCAGGATGTATGATGCTTCGTACATGTGAGAAGTCCCAGGAAGTTTCCAGCTTTGTGACCACTCCTTCATCAGCCGTTCATGTCTGCACACACACAAACGCACACAACAGCTCTATCCACTCACCGACCCTGACATGAGATATGGAGAATATATGCACGAGGATTCACATTCACAACTATTTGTCACTGTCCGACTTCACGTACACGTCTGCTGCTACGTCCCTGCACGCCGGCAAATAAATCACACCGGATCTTTTTGTTCAGCTGGGTGTGACAGCCAGTCTGAGAGTCCTTCCTGCCCTGGGCTGGGCAGCTGTCTCTATTTTTTAAACTGAGACATGATTTGCCGCAGATAGTGACCTGTGACAAATCGTATACATTATTAATCGCATGCCAATTAGAGAGATGGAATTGTGCATCCTAATGAAGCGGAGCAGCATTTGTCCGTGCCAAACTTTGGGAATCTATTTGCATGCATCTGAGTGCCACTCACTGTAAACAGCTTCATACACCCAGTCCTGTTCCTTTTCTTTCCCTCCCTGTTCAGGCCCCTTTACACTGGAAGGCAACATTGGTGCAATGTAATAAAATCAGCCAGAATGTGGACGGTCTTTGCAGCCTTTTAGCAAGAACTCCAGACCCTATGCTAGGTCCTGGAGGGTTTTCATCCTGTATAAAACCTCTGCAGTGATGATCTAATGGTAGCAGCGTATTTGGGTCTTGAGTGGAACACGTGGTGGGAGCGTATCTACGACATCCGGTCCTCATTCACCAGCGATGCTTGGTCATTAAGAGTGTGAAGCAGGACTTGGCATATTGGCCTCATCCAAGGCTACAAATGCCATTGTGACAAGTTTTGTAGAAACAACCTACTGTAGACATGATGCCTGTGCTATCATGGCATCCTGACTAAAAGCTGTGGGCATATAGAGCGTGGTGAAGGACCAGGCAATGCAGAGAATACCAGGAAAAACCTAAGAGCATAGCAGTGTCACTGCCGCCTGATCCAGCCATACTTTAACTTTCTGACCCAGAAAATAAAAGCAGAGATTCATGACCCCCCCACCCCATTGCTGGTTTGAGTGTACAAATAGTGCTTAAAAGTGGCAAAAAATAGATGTGGTGTTGTTTGGGGAAAATGGAGTTGCAAAAAATATGTTAGACTGGTACAGGACATGTATGATGACAGCAGGACATGTTAGACTGGTACAGGACATGTATGAGGACAGCAGGACATGTATGAGGACAGCAGGACAGTGGTGAGATGTGCTGTATAAGTGGCAGATATCTTCAAGGTGGAGGTGGGATTCATCAAGGATCTGCTCTGAGTCCCTACTTGTTTGCTCTGGTGATGGACCGACTAACAGATGAGGTCCGGCAGGAATCCCCATGGACTATGATGTTTGCAGATGACATTGTGATCTGTGGTGAGAACAGGGAACAGGTGGAAGATAATTTGTAGAGGTGGAAGTATGATCTTGAAAGAAGAGAATGAAAGTCAGCCGCAGTAAGACAGAGTTCATGTGTGTGAATGAGAGGGAGACAGGTGGAACAGTGAGGCTACAAGGAGCAGAGGTCACAAAGGTGCAGGACTTCAAGTACTTGGGGTCCACTGTCCAGGAAAATGGGGAGTGTGGTAAAGAGGAGAGTCCAGACAGGATGGAGTGGATGGAGAAAAGTTTCAGGGGTGATTTGTGACAAAACTGTGTCAGCAAAGATTAAAGGAAAAGTTTACAAGACAGTGGTAAGACCAGCTATACTGTATGGTCTGGAGACAGAGACATGGACAAAAAGACAGAAGAAATAACTGGACGAGGCAGAAATGAAGCTGTTGAGGTTCTCCTTGGTAATAAGGAAGCAACCCCTAAAGAGGGAACAGCTGAAACACCTGTCACTTGTTTATTCAGGCCCTGACCCCAGCGTTGGGAACCATGACTTCAGGTCATGGAGAGTGAAGCAGGAGCATCTTCCAGTCTGAAGGAGGCTCTGGTTATATTCTATTATTTTTCTTTTCTGACTTTTCTCCTTTCTCTACTCTTATTTTTTTAAATTCTTGTTGGTATTCCTTTTTTCCGCTTTCTTCTCCAGATGTTTCTTCACCACTCATCCTCTTCATCCTCTTTCTTTTTTCTTCCTTCATTCTTCCACTGTTTTTGTTTCCTCCTCCTGTTTTGTCTTCTCACTTTTATTCCTTTATCCTCTTTTCATCTCTTGCCTCCAGTTCAGTTCCTTCTTTCCTCCTTCACATTTTCCTCTTTTGTTCTTTTGGCTCCCCTCATTCCTGCCTGTTTTCCTACCGTCTCCTCCTCCTCCTCCTCTTCGTCTCTCCTGGGCTGTCATGTCCGTCAGCCGGGCCGGTGGTGATCGCAGTAGACACAGAGATAAGTAGCTTCTTTATGGAGAGTGTGAATGATATGTGGCACAGCCAGTGATTCTAAGTGACAGAGGCCAAATGGTAAGTGATGCAGTGTTCAGCTGTCCCTCCAGCCTTCT